CCAATTCCACAAGTATATACCATAGTATGCTACGTTTATCTCTTGAGCATAACACAGTATTTTCACCTCGGGCACAAACGGCTGTAAAATCCGTTTGTTAATTCTTCTCTGCTTCCGGACGAGTCGTTTCGTAATAATAAGATTACTGTTATTTAAATAGCGAATTGTAATGCGTCGTATTTCTGGAACGAGAAAGCGTGTGTCGTAGCAAAAGCAATTCGAATTACGAATTATTCGCAGAGCCCGAGACCCACGAATAGCGCCAACGACAGCCAACTGGATCGATACCGAAATTGCCCGGGATAATCAGTTCGGGATATGATTGACTGACTTTGAAATACGCGCGGATATTAATAGAGGGGCATTTGGGGATATGTAATGTCTCGTTTTATGATTTTACGTGGTTTTACCACGACGTGCGCGCGCCCAGTGCCACGAATATTCGCCGCTGCGACGGATTTTCATTGCGCAATTCGTAATCGCGGTTGCATAATTCGCACAATTACAGAATCAATGAAAAGAAATAAATCGGCCGGATTATAGCTCACGTGCCGCACGGAATGTGCGCACGAAGAGATTGATTTCTGGCTACGCGGCGTCCGAGTTTAGAATTAAACCGTGAACAGCTTGACATATTTCGCCAAGGGAGGAAATCGCGGCGTTCGAGACGCGTCTCCCGATTTCGGGCAAAAGTCTCGTTACGCCCAATGATTTTCTCGAATCCTCTGAGCAAATAATTCGCTTGACGTAACAGTCGAACGGGAAACGACTTGTTTTCTAGCGTGTGTAACGCGGCGTACAATCCGTACGCGTGTCAGTCGAAAGCAATGACGGCGCGCCGCAACGCAACGCTTATGTCATTGCACTGACAATGAAAGTTAGAATCACTGTCTGTAGCGTCCGTGTAATCTTACTACTTCCACGAAATGAATTATTGAAATACTACGTTGCCTGCATTATGCCCCGGTGCGTCGCGCCGTTGGCGTGCCGCGCCGCAAAGTGTCTACTTTCTCATTTCGCGCAATTATCAGTAATCTCATTTAGCGCGCTCGCTTAAGCGGATCAACTTTATAATGTGTAACAAACGGATGCAAATGTGACAATTCAGGCGACCGCGGTCGATATAACGGCGAATTTAGAATTCTCAATTTTTAACCCGATACACCGAGTTTACGAGTTAAAGCTGCGGCACGGGAAACCTTTAGCAGTTTATTCTGTCGAATCTCATATCCGTTTGTTACACGTCTGTATGTCTACATTAAAGTAAGATCACTTTTTAAATTTACAATTGCAATTTTCTCTAGACATCGTGTCTGCTTCGTCCAAATGTAGGTTTCAAAATGAACGAAATTCGGTATTTTGCGATAACTTGCTGAAATCTTCTTCGAAGCTCTTTTCGTCTTCTTCTTCTTCGAAGAAAACTCTTTCTGCCTTTGATCGTAAGATTTAAACAACCGTTTTTCTTTATGATTTTCATTAAAATCATAATTATTGTTCGCCCGACTCATCCAAATGTAGCCTTTAAAATGAGACAAATTTGGTATTTTGCAATAACTTGCCGAAATATTCTTCAAAGCTCTTTTAAACCTCGAATTATAGCACAGAAGAATATTTGGCTTCGTGACAAGGAAATTCTTGGAATGCCTCTTAAGTGAGCTACAAAAAAGAGCTTTCTTCGATCATTAGATTTAAACAACCGTTATAGAAACGTTCCTCTTTATGGTTTTCGTTAAAATCATTGATAATTGTTCGCCATAAAAAAGGCGCGGCGAGTCGTTATCACAGCTATTAAGTGCAGGGAAATACCTCGGCGGCAGTTTTACGGACAATTATTTAGCGCCGTAAAATTTATGATTAAGCAGTAACAATCGATATGGGCATTTCAATCGAGTAAATGTGAAAAATGACAATCGTTATCAGTTTCCTTCCCGTCTGGCAAAAAGTAGACGTGACTTTCGTTACGTTCCCCAATTTTTACGTGTCGAATCGAGTGGAAGAAAACGCGTCGCGGACCCCGCGTCAAGACACGCCGATACAACGGAATGGAAGTGAAAGGACATCTCGTGATTAACAGGAAACATTAGCATTTAAATTCGCCTGAAACTTCAAGTGTTTCACTTCTTTCTTTACACGCTTACTTGCCACTCGAAAGTTATGTAAACGACCGAGGAAAAAAATCCGATTCGCTCCGGACGATCCTAGGTGTCTCGCTCGCGGAGTCGATGCCCTCCTCGTAGTTGAACAAAACAAGCCTGCCGTGTTTTTTTTTTGGTTTTTCTGTCCCTCCCCTCGCGACTCCGCGCGCGGTTAATCCCCGTTCATTATATCCCCGCGTTGTGTATTACTCTCCTGCAAAACTCGATCGAATCGCTCTTCGAGCGATATTATGGAATACCCGCGTAGCCGCGCGGTCGTTTCCACCGCACTGTCAATATTAATCCAATATACGAATACCAGAAATACTTTGAATAGTAAGAGCTCTACTTGCGATATCTGCAAGTAGAAGAAAACGGATCAAGCAGTTGCCTCGAAACCGGTTGCCAGGAAGTATCGTCGAATAGCAGCAACTACTCGCTCGACAGATCCCCTACTTAAGGATCGCACACAGGAGGCCGTAGGAAACTGCTCAGCTGCGCGGACTCTTGGACGAGCTACCTCGTAGCGAGCAGCATTTCTTTTCGGGATATGCGTTTCGATAACTTTGATAAACCTGCCTGCGCCGAGCAAGAAATCCGCTCCGGAACGGAAAGTCAAAAGTTGAAAATTTCCTACGCGAAAATGGTCGCAGAAAAGCGATTATCCAGTTTTTAGTTTTTATCAGTTGTTTCTTTATGCAAGCAGCTGTTTGCTTTTACTGCGATACGTCCCACTTCTTGTAAACGTACACGGAGAAAAAGATTTCTTTGGATTTAGTAATCCTATTTATTTGATTGAAATTTGTTTCCGCTGAAACACCATATGCTTGTACGAAACATTATTTGTTTGAATAAAAATCTTCTTGTTTTATTCAGACAGTCTCTATTATTTGAAGTTAATATCTGTAAATTAAGTAATTATATTATTTGTCCAGGCGCTTCTAACGTTCGGTGCTGCCACTAGATGGCCGCCGAACTCGTAAGTAAAATCACGGCAGCCAGACATACAAGCTACCGCATCAGTAGACACAGTCCAATCATCTAACGGTCTATTCTTTATAGCTGAACATAGTGTATTCAGTGTTTATCTTTCTTCTTCCAATGAGGAAAAAATTATAATGTAGAGGAAAAAAGATGTATGTATGCAAATTCTTTTCACATATTTTCTATCAAACGATAATATCATTTAGTTCACAGAGAGTATACCTTTTGTTTCAAGCAAATATTTTATTTCAGACAAAGGTGTATATTACTTCGAATTCAACCAAATGATTTGTTTGGTCCATTTCGGATATCAAATTTGTTTGGATACAACAAAATTGATTAAATCCAAAGAAATCCTTTTCTCTGTGTACGCAACATTGGCAATTAAAAGATTATTGCGTGCCTGATTGCACGCGAAATATACGAAAACGACTGTCAATTGTACACTTTAATAAAATAAATTAACTCAAACGCGTCTAATAGCCTAAACTATCTAAACTCAGCTCCCCCTCTCTATCACCCTGGTGCATCTCGTCACAATAAATAAAAATCTGAATACCCTAGCAGCGAGCCCTCCCAACTGCAGGAAGTGCGTACACCAACAGTACGCACGGATTATGTTCGCGCGCGAGCAGCGTCGATGGCATCTGCTACAGTCTGTCGGGGAACTAAGTCACGTTTGCGTTAATCACGTTGGCACGATCACGGCGTCTCCAATGTCAGAGTCAGGGTTAATCTTCATTTCCGGAAACGGGACGCGTGCGCACGGGTCGCATTTATATACCACCCCTTAGCTACCACCGCGCGAGTGTCGAGAAGCATTTATAGATGCGTTCTTTCGTACTTGTAATATACAGACAGGCCCGAATCGAAATTTTGGCCCTATGTTGAACCTTTAATACAGTAGGACCTAAACAGTAAACGAGGTCGAGCTGCAAGTACAAAATTCACTCCTACTTTAAAACCGATAGTGTCGGAAATTTCTGCTTTCGCCAACTTAGCATTAAAGTAGGTCCTTTTAAGTGGGAGCTCAAGTAAATTTTTAGAATTAAGGATTCATCAAAGTAGGTTATTGCTGGTCTACGTAGGTGTACAGATCAGCTAAGTAGGTGTAAATTATCCTTAAAAGTGTCAAAATAGTACCAAAATATCGACTCGGGTACTGTTGCGACTCGTGAAAATGTTACGCCGCGAGGCTCCATTTTTGTAATTGCATTTCGTAAGTGTCGCCAGATAAAACGTTAATAAAAAAAAATTGTGTTATATTAGTGAAAAGTGGAAACCTTCCGTTAACATTTCATTCGTTAATTAAGAGCCTCACAACTAAAGTTTTTAATGCGGTTGTACGGATGTGCAAGGGACAGGCTGTTTTAGTGTAACATCGTGTTTCTTGCTAATTAAGTTTTCTACCACTTTAGATTACATCGACTTTGCTGCCCTCAGCTACTTACGAAACACACTAATCTCATTTCTTTTTCTGGATAACGCATTGTGACGTAGACGTATAATACCACGAACCGATGAATAAAACATGGGTCTAAATTAACTCGCTGAACTCGCCGTAAAAGTCTTGGATTGTGTTTATCAACAAATGTTGCGGTTTCCAATCCGTTTTCTCCGGCGCAAGACCGACGCGAGACTCTAACTACGTCATATGCTAATGACTGTCGTTTTTACAATTGGGTAACAATATTAATTTTATACGCGTACGCGAAGATAAAGACAGATAATGCGCCGGAGTCGCGCAATATTCTGCAGTTCTTACGGCCATCGGCTAACCCTTACGAGATCATTATGTTAAATGTTTTACGCTTCATTACATCTCGTTGTAACGAGACGAACGCAAGTATATAAGTGCAGCTCTGTCCTTGAGATTCCTACCTCTGGACCTGCCAAAGGACTTCATGGCCTTGATTCCCATTCCGGCATAAGCGTCGCCGCCGTAATCAACGTACATGAGTGCCGATTTCGTGTGATCACTGCACATGCACGTAGTCCAGGGTTATCAGTGTCATTCGTCCGTCCTTACTCTTTATATCTCGCTACCGAACTCGCGCTCCTTCCCTCTCGTTGTCACTCGGGACGCGGTGAGATGAAATCATCTAAGTCGCGCGCGCACCAGTCGAAGACGATCCGGTAGAGTCAGTCCAGTCGGCTCGTCGCTCGGCACCACGTGCGGTAGCGAGCTCGATCTCGCGCGCCGATCCGTTCGCCGCCGGTTCAACCTTCTCGAGACGGAGGAGCCCCTGGACCGTCTATCCCATAATGCGCACCGTTGCTCGACCACGAGGGGGACGATCCCCGTCCACGAGGCGACCGGTGTCGTGTCGGCGAGTCACTCGGCGGGCGCGCTTCTTTTCGCGGCGCGGGGCCAACGCGCCGCTTCTCGCAGCGGCGTGCAATCGCCCGGTGCCATCGAGGTCGCCAATTGTTGCTTCTTCGCGCGCGTCACGGCGTCGCGATGAACCGGCATAACAGCCGAGCGAGCCGCTTGGCCGCCGACAGTCTCTCGATTTATCAATGGCGGGCCGAGCTCGGCGTGCGCGCGCGGCGGTCACGTCGCGTGGAGGCCGAGAGGAGATCCGGGAGCGTCGACGAGGCGCATTACTGGCCGGGCGGCGGGCGCGCGGTGCGGGCCGCGGAGCGTGGCGTGTCCACCATGTGTTTGCTATCAATTCATAACTGCGACCCACACGGGTTATTTCCGAATACCTGCTTGCGCAACCGCTCGTTGCTCCGGCCCGAGCGGGAGGACCAGAGGGAGGAGGCGGGGTGGGACGGTGGCGAGATGGAGCGAGGCTCCCCGGTGGAGGGAGCGAGAGTCCGAAAATACGTAGGCGCGTCGCCGCCCGGTCCGTCGGGGACGGAAATGCCCCCTGCTCCGTTTCGCGCTTCCTTCCCGCTTTGTCCGAATTCGCGCTGGCCACCCCGAGACTCGCTAGGCGGCGGCGACGACGGCGACGACGATCGCGTATAGCGCGGGCACTCGACTCGACTCGACTCGGCGGGCACTCTCGTAGGGGAACGCGCACCACGCGAGACGCCGCGCACTGAAGCAGGCCTGCGAGGAGAGCAGCCGAGGGAGCCGCACGCACGTATCGCCGCGCGTCACGGACGCTCCTCGCACTCCGGCCCGTGCGACGTGTGTTGTGTATCGCTCGCACGAGAGGATCGAGGTGATCCGCCGCCCCGGCCACGAAACGGTCTTTCCTTCGGCGCCACCGGAGTTCGTTAAGCCGAAGCGCCACTGTCGGGCACGTACGACCGCGTTCCGCAGGTAAGTGCGTACACGCCGGGAGAAAAAGAGAAAGAGAGAGCTAGAACCAGAGGTGGAAGAGTGAGAGACGAGGGGGCAGAAACTCCGAAGAAGAAGAAGAAGAGGCAGAGGAGAGCAAAGGTGCAGGAGAAAAGTAGAGGAAGACCCGTCCAGGAAGGGAGGTGGAGAACGAGAGAAGAGGGGGATCGAGAGTCGTCTCTCTCTCTCACACACACACACACACTCTCTTCCTCGGAGAGGGGAAGTGGATGCGTCTTCGATCGCGTTTTACGTATCCGCGATTTCACGGGCGTCCGGAGACTCCGGCGGGCGGCGGTCCAGCGGGCGGACGCGAAGGGGGACAAGGACTTTGACGCCGGTCAGGATTCGTTTCACACGACTCACTCTCGGGCGAACACGCGAGTTTTGCGGGGAGTCCCCGTGTTCGGGGGAGCCGCAAAGCGATGCGGTAAAACGCGGAGTAAAGCGGCCGGAGAAAGAGGGAGAGAGAGAGACAGAGAGCGAGAGAGGACGCTCTCCTCGCACGCCACGGGCGACCGAGCCTCGGGGAGGGCAGCAGGGTGGGAGAGACTGAGCGAGAGTAAGACGATCGGCCGAGTCGCCGGTTCCCTTCGTCGTGACTCCGGTGTCACGGATGGCTAAGTCGCATGACAGTCGCGCCGTGTGTATGTCATGTACGTGCGCCCGCGGACCCCAGGGAGGGGCAGCGAGGCGTAAGAACGGAAGGAGATGAGGACGCGCGAAGGAGGTGGGCGGCGAGGGACACCGGTTTATTATAGGGGAAGCGTGCCGTAGATAGCAACCCGGAGAGACTGAGAAAGAAAGACAGACAGAGAGAGGGGGGGGGTTCGGGTTCGGGTTCGGGTTCGGAAATGGAGAGGAAAGAAGGGCGAGCGAGGCCGAATTATGTGTGGAAATATTTGGAAGATTCTCGAAACATGTAGACCCAGAAGACACGCAGGAGTATTTTCGGGCTGAATGGAAGCGAGGGGAATGGAAAAAACATCGAGCAGAGACGCGAGGTACAATCCGAAAATACGTCCAGCCGTTTCGCGCGGGTAAAAACGTAAAATCACGTAAGGCGAGCGGGCGAAGCCGTGGGTCATCCGTGGGGAAGATTCCACCCAGGTGGAATTAACGGAGCGATGAAAACGGAGGGGGGGGGAGAGAGAGAGAGACAGAGAACTTGGAAACGTACGCGCGAGCGAGCGCGAGACGGGAAGAACGAGCGAGACCGACGACGGAACTGGAAAGGGACGCGGCGAGAGGGAGACGTAAAACACTTGACTCCCCACCACGCTACGATCGCACGACGCGACAGCGCGGAGTGGCGGCGCACAGGCCTCCTAGCCCTCACTCTTCTCGCTCTGAGTTTTATGAATGAATACTCTCCCGTCACACGCGGCGGACTAACACTGGCGTCGGCGCGCACGTTACGAACGAGAGGCGCGCGCGCGCGCGCTGTCTCTCTCTCTTCCTCTGTTGCTCTTCCTCCCTCCTCCGCCCTCTCTCTCTCTCTCTCGCTCTTTCTCTTTCTTTCTCGCTCCCTCTCTCCTTCTCTCGATTTCAGTCGGAGCCGGGCGCGTAAAATCGTGGCGCACGGATGTGCCTAGGCGACGTGCACGTACACACGCGCGACGCGGAGTCCGCGCGACGACGAGTAAATACCGAGTTGGCTAATACACGGGCGAGCAGGTCCGCCGCAGTCCGTTCCTTCCTTCATTCGGTTTGCCGGTTCGTTCATTCATGCCCGAGCCGCACGCTTTAACTGGTAGCTCACCTCGGCCGTCCCGAGAGGCTCCCTCCTCCTCTCCCCCCCCTTCCCGTCCTCTCCTCTCTCCCTCGCTCAGATCAGATCTCTTTTCCGCCGCTCTTGTCCGTTCGACGCCGCCCGCTGCTGCCACCGTCGTCGTCGTCGTCGTCGTCGTCGTGACGTTGACGTCACGCTAGATGAAGAAACGAGTCGGCACTTTCCGAGAATGACTGCAGTTCCTCGCGTGACCTTCTTTCATCGGCTGCCCGGATAGCAGGGTGGACTATCTTTCCGAGCACGGTGGCCTTCGTTGCTTATATACACCGGCACGAAGGGCATATATGGGTTGCAGCTTCTGATATATAGCTTGCTCGGCGAAACTTGAGAGTGTACTTTTTTTTCCCCCTTTAGATATCGCCGGGAGATTGTTCGTAGTCATCGTATGAATTTTTGTGACACAGATCTGCGATCTAAATATCAATATAATCAAACTGTGGCTTTGGACCATGGATATTCTAGTAAACGAAGATTTACTTTAGGTATTTACGATGTGTGTGGTATTTTCTGCGTATAGAAATATTTGTAAAAAAAAGTGCGCCTTACGCGTCGGAATATTAAGAAAATGCGATGGTAATGAAATGTCCCCGGGTATACAATTTTATCAACGCTTTATAACGTTATAGAAGAAGAAATGTCGAGATTTATTCGCGTCGACAATCTATGGGAATAAAATTTACATAAATTCTTTCTAAAGCGTTCTAATTCGTTTAGTTGCAGTATCTACGCAGGTAAACGTAACGGGGGCAACCCCTTCGATCTGCATGATCGCGTGGTAACGAGCGCGCTTAACGACATCAACGCGTAAACAAAGGTTGAATGACGGTCGAACGGTAAAGTTTTTAGCGGCGCGGTAGAAACGCGGATGTCGCGGGGCGCCTTTACAGCTTCTTCGCCGGCGGAATAATCGGCGATAAAAAGGCAGCGTGGCGTAATTACACGTTGCTAACGCAAACACGGTTTTAGCAACTTTCCTACGGTCGCACGGTGGATCGCGGCCGCGCCGCGGCCGACGTGTTGTGCGTGATGATTGATGAAAAACTCGCCGCCCGCGGGCGCGAGGCTAAAAATTTCCTTCGCGCGGCCGGCAACTTCCGGCACGTCCGCGGGACCATTCATAAACTCGCCCCGGTACCGTCAAACGCGACGAGACATTCACTCCTCTCCCGGCTCCCATTCCAGCGGCTACCACTCGCGATTCCGCGAGCTATATTTTACGCCACTTCTCGTACGTATAACTGTACGAGCGATGTGACTATGTCTTCCTATCTTCTTCCTTCCTTGGGCGCCCCCCCTCTCTCTCTCTCTCTCTCTCTCTCTCTCTCTCTCTCTCTCTCTCTCTCTCTCTCTCTCTCTCTCTCTCTCTCAACCGGTTACGCCGCATTCGTTTCGATAGATTAACTGGGAAACGAATTGCCGAGAGACAATTTGGCAAGACGCGGTAC